CCTGATATTGTACACAGTTCAAAACTCTGTATCCCTAAGGAGAAAACGGTGACAAAAGGCACACCCCACCCCCACCCCCCCACACACACACACTGCCGCAGTTCCAAATTCTCTTTTCCTTCTACTACAAGACTTTTGTTTATTCTATTCTCTGGAATATTTTTTCTTGACCCTCTTCCTGTTGAATGTTTACTGATATTTCAGATGAGTGTCAGGTTCCTTAAAACAACTTGCTAGTTTAGGTCAGTTTCCTTTGTTACATGGTCTTATTAAATCATGGCACCTCTGTTTCATTAGCACTTAATTCATATTTTAAATATCTGTTTATACTTTCGGTCATTTAATTTGATTAATGTCTTTTTCTCCCACTTGCATGGAAGTGTCAGTGTATCAAGGATCATGTTTCTCCTTAGCTAATCATTGTATTTCCAGGACTCAGCACAATCTTGGCTCTTATCAGACTCATAAAAATAGCTAATATTAATAAGTAACATTTTATAATATTTACCATGCTAGATATTGCTCTAAATCTTTTATAGTATTAACTCATAATTACAAAAATTTGTTAAATAAATAAGTAACTTAATAGATCTATCTTCTGCAGCCTCATCTTTCATCCTTTCTACATTTGCTTTTATTCTGTAGCCATATGTTATAATTAAATGGGCTTTACTTGCTTTTGATTCTACACATTTTTCCCCCAAACTCAGGTCAAATGTCATGTTCTACCAAATATGATTTCTTTCTCAGATTTTGTCACTCATTAAATCTAGGTTAGGTGCACTTTCTCAGTGCTTCCATACTTTTTTGTGTATATTTTTCTCATAGCATCAACTCTGTGATATGGTTGTTTAAAGAGATGACAGATTCAATCTATCAAGGAATTTATAGAAATTATTTGATAAGATGGACTAAATATTTTACTGTTGATCTTAGTAACTGTACAAGAACTTGTAATAGAATGCCTATAGGTCTAGGATAAAATTATGGTTTTCTTTCCAAGTGACCTGCATAAAGGTTTAGATCTCCTGGTGTAATCCAACAATTTAAAAAATATGGAAACATATGCAACTTCATTTTGGAGTTGAAAGAGAAATGGATTAAGAAATAATATAGATGAAAAATTTAAAAACAAAATAATGATCATGTTTTTTACATTTTAAATTGGTGTGAGATGATAGTACTGCCCCATTTGATTATAAGGCTTCCATAGAGATGCCTAATTGAGAAAGTACAAAGGGAGGCTGAAATGCAGTCTATTCTCTACTGTGCTTTCCATGACTTGAATCCCTGTGCTGGGTTGCAGCTGCCTAGTAAAAGGTACCTCTTTTTGTAATTGATGGATAGATAGGGGCTGCCTTTTTTCTAATTCACACGAAAGCACAACATAATCTAACAGAAGTCCTGGGGGTCAAGATCTTTGATCTCAAATTTTAGCCTTTGGTTAACTCAGTAGTTGGTAGAGCTCTTTAGACCTACATGAAGAGGACATAATTAATATTTGAGAGAGGCTTACAGCTTATTCAGTATTAATGAATTCATGAATTCAGATAACATCTTAGTATGACAGTAGTCCCCCATTACCCTCTGGGAATATATTCTGAGGCTTCTAGTGGATGTGTGAAACTGTGGCTATTACTAAACCTTATATAGATATTATGTTTTTTTCCCTATACATATATACCTCTGATAAAATTTAATTTAGAAATTAAACAGTAAGAGATTAACGACAATAATAAAATAAAATAATTATAATAATATACTGTTATAAAATTTATGTCAATGTGGTCTTTCTCTCTCAAAATATTGGACTGCAATTGACCATGGGTAACTAAAACCACAGAGAGCAAAACTTCAGATAAGGATAGACTACTGTAACTGCCAGTAGTCCATCACATTCTCTTTGCCATGAAATTTTTTGGTTTCAAATGCTGTTCCAAGTGAGTCGTTAGTTATAAATGAAAAATATTTCCTTCTTTTGGAGAGAAGGAGAACAGAGAGATTTCAGTTCAGATAAATACTTAATTTAGGAATTTACCTATAGCGAACTTTGGGTTTTATACATGAAAATTATTTTGCATATTTTCATGCAGTATTAACTTGTATACATTGATTTTCATAGAGATTAAAGAAGCTGCTCAGATCTTGTCACATGTCGATAATGGCAAGATTGCTATACCTAACTTGGAGCATGCCTTGAAATGTTTGAATGTTAATTTAACAGAAGAGGACTTTAACAAAGCTCTTAAAAATTGTGGTATTAGTGGTAAGCATTTTTTTTTCTCTTGGGATTCTTTTCATTTTCCCCACTTATGGGAAATACTCTCAGAGTGTATGCATATTAATATATAAAGGTGTTAGATGATAAACATAGTCATCCTTCTACTGGATGCTTAGACTGATGCAAATTAGAGCCAAAAATGATTCACTAGTTTTAAATCTTTGTTGACTATATCTAACTGTTCACTTTCATCTAGACACTATACACTTACCTAGATAATTACCATTTATTATTTACAAGTATGGGTAGGAAAATAGTATACATTAATAAAATAAAGACATGACAATAGCAGCTTCATTTTGATATGTAATCATTTTTCAGAGAAGATCCACTTTCATCTGTCCTTTTAAGTACTGGTCCCATTTTGATTTTTAATTATTGAAATAGCTGAAGGCTTGCTACATTTTTAAAGAACAATTATTTAGCTTTAATCACTGTTCCTAAGTGGGCCTATGTTTGTTTTCCACCTTGACTTATGTAATACATATATTTTTTTTAGGACTTTTTAAAATTTGTCCTAAAGTCATCGAAGCAAAAATCATGATAAAACATTCTGCTTTCCTTTACAATTGCCCAAGGCAGAAAAAAAAAACAAAACTATTCATAGGAAAAAAATGGTTTTGTACATGGGATGAAACAATATAAATTCAAAACTTACAGATAAGGGTTAGCTCTATCGCTCATCTCTTTAAAAAGTTTATATGAATATCCAGTCAAAACCAACAAGAGTATCTCCCTTGAAATATTATTTCTACGGCTTTCCAAGTAGACCACAGGACTGCACAATGTCTTGGAATGTCCTCAGAAGGCTCTGTCAGTGATCAGGTAACAGAGTAAAAACCCCAGAGTCCTTTCTTTCAAATGGAAGAGGAAGACAGAGGGACAGAGAAACTATTCAAACTTCGTCTTCTTTCCTTGTGGCTTGTGGTCTCCTCCTCCTCCTCTCCCTCCTCGGAAGCCACCTTGCCCTCCAAAGCCTCCTCGGCCTCTGCCACCAAATCCACCTCGGCCTCCTCTGCCTCCACCTTGGCCTCCAAAGCCTCCTCTGCCTCCACCTCGACCCCCGAAGCCACCTTCACCCTTAGGCTTGGCCCAGTCCAAGGTAACTTTGTTTCCATCAATTTCACCATCTTCCATGGCCTCCTTGGCAGCTTTGGCATCTTCTTCACTGTTGAAGTCTACAAAACCAAACCCTTTGGAGGATCCTGTTTCCTGGTCAGTGAC